CCACGTTGAAGGGGTTAAAACTATCCCCAGCCTCCAGCTGCTTCCGCGTTCGTTCCAATTATGAAGCCTCGTTCGCAGTCGTCAAATCACACGAAGACCGCATCTAATCACCGGAAATTCAATCGGCGATGTCGGTAGATTAACTCTTTCAGAGATGAAAACAAGACTGAATCTAGAATCGCGCGTTTACTATGCGATAAACAAATCTTACGTATCTATAATTATACGGAATGTTTAATATTTTAATCTTTTTTCGATCTTTTGTCACGAACATAGTTAAAATTAATATTTTTGCAACAAATACCCTCTACTTCTTGAAAGGAATAAACTCGAAAGAAATTTGTGTAAAGAAACTTAAAAATGTTAAAATTATAAGTATATAGTAGCAAATTTGTCACAAAAAGAAAAATTTTGAAGATCTACAAACTTTCTGGAATTTTTACACACTTAAAAAATTATCTGCGCTGATAAAAGAGAAGGTAGAAAACGATAAGTGATGATTGCGAAAAATATATTTATCTAACATATAACATAATATTGATAATATTCGATACCTAACGCAGCATTGAGTTACATTTCTTGAGTGCAGCTTATAAAATCAGTTAAAATTCACGCAGCAATTGAACACGATTAGAAAACGCAGAAACCTTGCGTGAAACACATTTTCCTTGGATTTTCAGGCAGGAGTATTTGTAGTCACCGGATGTGTACATAAAGTCGAAACACGGCTCTTTTTTAGAAACTGTGGGCAAAATCGCGTGCTTAGAGACGTTTCTCTCGAAGAAGAATTCGAAGTAGACAGTTGAACGGAACGTTACGTTAGAGGGACTGTGCGCTCGCGCGCGCAAACAGAATGCTTCCCTTTCATTTACATCCGCCGGACGATCGACCTTGAGCAGACCTGTCGAAATCGAAGAGTCCTGCTGAAGGCCAGCCCGAAATCCATTAATTTTTATGCGCCCGGAAACCATTTGCCGATCCCACGCGCACTTGGGCCGCACGCTCCACTGATAGCGGTATTTACGAGCCATGCAACTATTAATTATCTTTAAACGTTACCTGAACCTATCCCAACCCCGTTCCAATTACCGTCAGGAACAAAGGAGCCGATATGCACTTCTCGGTAACGAAAGTCGGGAATTTTATTTGTCACTCACGTTTCGCACGCGCTACTCTCTCGGCCGCTCTTTGCTTTACATCTTCGCATAATTAACAATATGATTTGTGTTACAAGTGCAATTATCGTGACACGTAATATATTGTATTGTATACGATGGAGACGTTCGAAGCCGCAACGATTGCGCGGCGCGTGGCTACGACTTTCTCGGGTGACGCTAAAACAGAAAGAAATCGCAAACGGCGAAAGACGCTTGTTTTCTGGGGAGCCATCGTGGATTCACGCTCGACCAAGGGGATAATCGATTGGCCATTCAGCGGAATTAGTTGATCGGGACAAGGTGGTCGATATATGTTGTGGCTCACGGTACAGAAACGCGCGTCGACACGTGGTACAGAGACTTCTAGACAAGGGAGACACAAAGGAAAATAAAAAAAGAAGTGTCTTCTCTTCTCCTCCGTCTCTCCCGTTTCCTCCTTTTAAACTCGCTTCGAGTCGAGTCGATTCGTTTCTCTCGCCGGGAAACACATAATCGTTGTTGCGCATCATCAGCCGTTATTCGTCGGGTTTGTCATATGGCTCAAACAAGTAAACCTAATTTCGAAGATGAGATATCATTAGGAGAGAAGCGTTATCAAAAGTCGCAATCGATGTTGCCGTCGCAGGCCTCGTTTCTTCGCAACTGCCGTTGGCACGAGTTTTAGCAAAGGTTACAAAAACTTCGCCCGCCGATCGCTTCCAAATGCGCCGCAGCGTTAATGATAAATTTTACCTCAAGGATAACACCCTCGTCATTGACGAAGATAATGACCGGCGGATCGCAGGAACGACAGGAGTACCCGTCGACCTGCACCCAGTATACCTGCGGGCGCTCACAAAAGAGAGGACGAGTCCTTCCTTTTCTCTACCTGGACGAACAAAGAGACCCCGTAACGGAATCAACCCTTGGCGAACCGATAATCCAGTCGCATGTTGGGCCGATTTTTCACAAACTCGGTACCAACGTACCGGGCTTGTCTACAGTTGCCGCTAACAGCGATTCCAGCACTAATGAATCGGACATTCATTTCGCGGAACAATGGGTGACAGTACTTCGCAGTCACCCGGTGGAGCTATGCGACGCACCCCCCCCCCCCTCCCCCCCGACAGGGGGTCGATTGACGAAGGGCCCTTCAGCAGTCGACGATCAAAGAGCGCGATATTGCGTTCCCCGTGAGAGTCAGATTCGGCAAATCGAAATTCAGATTGCCATTGTGTGCAACAGAGAGGAAGGAGTTTGGATAACACGCGAAAACGAATTAGACCAAACGGTAGGAGAGACGTAGAGATGACTTGAAGGTTTTAACCGAGAAACTTTCGCTGTGGCTTCAGGCACTAGCGGAACTCTGGAAAGTGAGTCCAACATTTGTAACTATAACGACGCAGTAAACCGATCGCAGTACATCGATTGCGGTTTACATTGATTACGACAGAGAGAGAGAGAATCATTAGCATCATTATTTATTCAATGCCCTAGGACAAGTCCTCCTGATATACGTAGTACAGAAAATAACAGAAAATTGACAATGCACATATAAAATGTAAAAGAGAAAAATAAGAAATTATATGAGTGTAATATACTAACATAATAAGCAAAGTGAAAAATAAAACTAGTAAATGAAGCAGTATAAGAAGTATGGAAGATCCAATTACGTTTAGATAAAGGTACAAAGCTACAATGTACGCAGAGATTAGGGAAAGAAAAGAAAGACTCCAGAAGATTAAGACAGTAGAATAGAGAGGCGGGGATTCTCGAATTCTGGAGTATAAAATTCTCACAAAGCGTCAAACCAAAGCGTATACTCGGTTGCCCTGAAGTTAGAGCGAAAGTCATTCTTGAAGAGAACGAAACTCTAAATCCATCGACAGTCATTTGCGATTTTAAATCCAGCGAAAAATGTTATCAACAAGATCAACCTTTAGATCATGAGATCGGATTTCGATGGACAATTGTGATGACAATTACGCCTGTGAGAGAGTTGATTTTCGACGGCGAGATGAACGCGGAGCGTCGCACAGCGATCGCTAACATTCCACGACAATTTCAGTCGTGAGTCAATGCTTAAAGCCAACGGCACACGATAGGAAAAAATAGTATCGTGCCGTTGGCTTTATTCTCAAATGACCCGTGTCCACGAAACTAGAACTTGGTCCGCGTTGTAGTTTCGAGAAACGCGTAGCCAATCGACTTGCAGCCATTCCATAAAAGCTTTGGACGCAGTTCTCAGATCGTGGACGCACGGCTGAACGCAACGGACGCAACGTGTATCCAAATTCTAGTGTTCGTCAATGTCCACCGAGCGGCGCCTCCACTCGCGGTCAATGACGCGCGTCTTCTGCTATCTACGCACTATTCGGCGCGACGCGTATCGACCCCGATTGCTCCGACAAGCCGACGTCTCCTCGCCTCGAGTTGTCGCCGTCGAGCGCGGCCGGCTTTTGTCCGTACAAAAGAATGCACGAAGAAGCAAGTCGTGCGCGCCAATCGATCTCGGAGCGGCCTGTCTGAGAGACTCGAGATAATTCGACAATTAATTTAAGATAATAAATGACTCCTTCCTCGTTCGTTAATTGCGAACGATCGAAGAACCCGTACACGAATCTGAAGGAGAGAGAGAGAGGCGACGCGCGGATCCCCGCGCTTTTCCGAAAGAGAAGAGAAAGAGACAGAGAGGGGGGGAGGGGGGGGGAGCGAAAAGCATCGGCGTGGAGGCGATAGTGTGTACATACTTCCCTCACGCACGCGTCGTAAACCGCCTCCTCAACGAACGGTGCGCCTCGTGGTGGGGCGCAGCCGGCGCGTAAAGGGGAAGCTGGAGCACTTGGTGGGGCACCGGTGCTACGTCGGGTGGGGGTAGATTGGGCGCGGCCTACGGCGAGACCGCGCAGCGCGCGTTATAAAAATATAATATCAGTGTTACCCAGCGCTCTTTTTCGCTAGATATCCCGCCCGACGTATAGTGTGCGTTCCCCGGTCCCTGCCCCTCCCCCCCCCCTCGCGTATCGTTGCACGCGCACCGGCGACGGTAACGAGCGACGGTAGCGTTCCGCTCCGGCAACTCATTGATCGCAGCGATCGAATCTCGCTCCGGCGACCGGAGAGAAGAGCGGAGAGACGGGGTGGAAAGGAGCGAGAAAGAGCGAGAGAGAGGGGGAGGTGGGGGACACCCCCGTCCGTATCGAGCAGCGCCATTGACAGCGCCGGTACTGCGTGGACCGGCGCGACGCGGCGCGAGCCGAGCAGACCAGATACCGCAACGGTACCGGATACGGTGTGCGGAGCAGAGGCGCGCGCGGAGCGATCGACGGTGAACCGGCGCGAGTGTTGGCGGTCTCTTGATCCCGCGCGCCAGCCCACGCGCGACCACCGATTGATCCACGTGCGAGACAGTGAGAAAAGCGCGCGCGCGCGCGCGCTACGTGTGTGCGTGCATGCGTGTCCCGTCATTGTCGGAGTCCGAGCGAGCGATCGGGACGGGATCGTCCCGGAATCGTCCCGACGGACGGCCAATCGCGTTCGGGGCCGGTCTACCACCGCTCGGTTGGTAAAAAAGCGCGAGCGGCTCCGATACGTCGAGGGGATTCCTACGTCGGCCCAGAACGAGGGGGAGGGAGAAAGGGAGAGCGAGCGAGGAAGAGAGCGAGGGAGAAAAACGGAGCCGTGGCGTGCGGCCCGCTCCGCGGTAGAGAGGGTAGCGCCTGAAGAGAGAAAGACGCAGGAAGCGGACGCGCGCGGCGCGGCGCGGCGCACCGCCCGGGAACAGAGACAGAGGGAGGACGCAGATAGAGCGAGAAGGGTGGGGAGGGGAGACTACTCCGCTTAGAAGGCTAGGTATCGGGAGACGACGGGGAAAGCCTAGTGCTTCACCACCCGCACGAGTTTCCCTTGGACATTCGTCCGAAGCAATTCGCGGCGTGTTTTCTTCCCTCTCCGAGAGTGCGAGTGAACCAGTTGGACGGCGCCCGTCTCGTCGTGGTTATTCTCGCCGTCGTTCTCGATCGGTTGTCGTCACTATCATCATCATCATCATCGTCGTCGTCGTCGTCGCCGTCGTTATCATCGCCGTCGACTTGGTACAATCGTCATTTATCCGTGACGTAAATCGCGCCGTCACAGAGTCGCCCAAGGGAGGAGGGAACGGCGTGCTCGAAGGAGGGAGTAAAACGCGGGACGGAAGTCGGAAGAGAAGCCGAGGAGGGAAAGGAAGAGGGAGAGAGAGAGCGAGGAAGTGCCGTGCGCGTCGTAATCGGCGAGGAGGAGAGAGATCTTCGGCGTCCCCGAAACTCATTCGCCGGGATACCGTTCGCGTGTGTGCGCCGCCGTACGACACGTACGACTCCGTGCCGGAGGCTCTCCTCATTCCGGAGCGGATCCCGAGGAGAGGGCGCAGAAGGGCGAGAGTGTGCACCAGTACCTTTTTTTCTACGCTTGTCTTCCCTCCCTCTCTCTCCGCACCAGCGGGTGGCGCGGGAGATCAGCCAGTGTTTTAGTGCCAGTGTTTAAAGTCTACCTCAGTCGGCGGCTTGCGGCCGATAAAGCAGTTTAACAAAAGCATATTTAACAGAGAGAGAGAGAAAGAGAAAATTAATACGTGTGTATATGTATATATATAGATATTAAATATATTATATATATACATATATATTAAATATATATATATATAAATAGAAGGAGACAAGTGTAAGCGCGTAATCTTTACGCTTTGTGCGCGAGTTCTGCGACCAAGAGCAAAGTTGTTATCCTAAACATGTCTCTGGATAAGTTCGCGGAAGGCGGTTTGCTGCAGAAGGAGATGGAGCGACTAGAGATCGAGGAGAAGAACGGCGACAGTCCGAGGTAAACCTTATAGAAATCGCGCAGCGTTATTTCCTGTTGCTCGCCAACAGGTGTTAATCTTATTAATATCTCATCGGTAGACTACAGGCACGTTTATTGAGCTGTAATTTAAAATTATTATCCGTCCTGTGTGTCCGGAGAGGGGGATTTCACTTTTTAAAGAGAAAAACGGCGCGCCTCGAGTGAAAACGAATTCAACGGAATACAATTTCGAGACGAATATTTTCGAGACGCTTTACGAGACGTTACGATTCGGGCATTTCTCGCATACATGTCAACAAGCTCACAAGCTTGCGAGAGAACTTGTGAGGGCAATAACACAAACATGAACGAATGCTGGAGGTCGTTCGAAAATGGTTAGCCACTTCGATTGGGAATAGTCGATAACGGACGTAATTTATTATTATCGTCGTCCGACACGAGTACGTGTGTCGGCGCGCGAGGTTTCAGCGCGCGATCTCGGCAGAAATGCGCGAAAGTTGAGCGATCTCTCAAAGCCCGTTTCCGCCGATGTAGATTGGCTTACTTTATATCCGAAAGGTAAACCGCTGACCAAAATCACGTACATCAATGCCCACTAATACCCCGTGGGCATTACTTTATCTTATCATCTCTTGTTTCATCTTATTTGTTCATCGGTTACATTCGTAGACCGAAACGTTCCAACTTACCGCAATGTTATCTATTTTCTAATATATTTTTTCACCAAAACTGATGTAAATAATTTATCACCTTTGATCTGGTGACGACTCACCAAAAATATAACATTGCCTATATTTTTCGTTTTTATCTCAACGACCAATATAGATTTTAAATTTATAGTTGTTTTCATTGGGGCCTTATTTATATTATTAATTTATTTGCTTTTGTTTTCTCTTGCTTTATCTTATTTTATCTTTATAATGCCCCAGCGAGGCCTAATGCCCAAAAACTGCCTAGTAACGCCCAGTAATGCCGCATATCTAGTACGCAATGCCCTCAGCGGTCTGCCCCTCGTTTACATCTTCTAGTTTTAAAAATTAGAAAAAGGTATTTAAGCCGAGATTAAAGTTAATCCGCATCGGCGGTTAACTCGATCGCGCGAACGGCGCGGATGAACGCGAGGTCGAGACTACACGTACATTTCCGTTCGGTCGATTGCGTCAGGCCGCGATTGTTTGCGAATTCGCGTTTTAAGATGCGCGCCGATTATGTAATGCGAAGAGGTGTATTCCGGATGCCGGCCGCTTCCGCCTTCGCCGATCAAGTTCTCGTCCCTTCCAGCTCTCCGACGACTAAGGGCGGCGTCTTTAGACTTATTCGCGAAGAACGATGGAACGGCACGGGGCGACGTCGGCGAGACGTTTAATTCAGTAAATTAACTAATGAATCAATTACTGAACAAACACGCGCGTGGTGCGAGACGCAAGTTCCTTCGCGGTATTTCGAACGAATTATTGATATCTCTCGTATATTAGTCCAGCTATAAAACGTAGCGTCTTTTTGGATAGGCAGCATCGAGGGGTAAACCGCTGAGGGCATTGCGGTGCACAGAATTGCGGCATTACTGGGCATTACTAGGCATTTTTTGGGCATTATAAAGATAAAATAAGATAAGAGACGATAAAAGAAAATAAATAAGATAAAATGAGATAGCACGATAAAGCAATGTCCGCTGGGCACATTGGTGTACATGATTTTGGTCAGCGGTTTACCCCTCGGTCTATAAATTTTTATATA